ACACAGGAAACTCCCATTGACTTCACTACGAGCTCTGCCTGAGCAAGGACTTCTGAGCAGGCCTTCTTGACGGAGGATAGCAGGACAGGACCAAGGGCAGAAATACTTAGCTTCTACCAGAGCAGAGGCTGTCAAGCAGCCATTTCCGGTATGGTTTTTAATAGCAAGTCTCAAGGGACTTTACAAACGTGAGAAGTATTATTATCCACATATAACAAAACCTGGTTATCACAACAGAAGAGTAAAGCTAAATGAGGTGCTGTTTTAGGAATTCTTGGTGGCACATCCGTGTCTTCATGTGATGCAAACTAGGTGAATGTAAAACTATATATATATATATATATATATATGGCTGCCACGCTTCTGGGAAGAGTTTTAAAGAATAACTACTACCACACCCCTTCTACCATCCTGATTTTCCTAGATGCAGGTCACCATTTACTGCTCATGATCTCCATTGTTTTGGAGCATTCACTGTCCTGAGACTGCTCCTCAGGATATGACCAGAAAGGCATCAGGCCTGTGTGTTACCGGCATACCTGATCCTGGCCCTTTTGCACACCTGCAGCAGCAAAGCCAGAAGCCGAAGCCAAAGCCAGTTTACATTGACTCTGTGTCTGAGGAAGTCTGGTGGGGCTTATGTAGCTCTTGACTGGGGCAGGAGGAGGGGCAACTCTTCTCCAAATGTGTTATTGATGTCTGTAAGGTCCAGCCTCGCTAGGGCTGCAGTAAGGGCCGTATTTGATGATGGCAGTTACGCAGTGCTTTGCATCACTGGGCTGCCAGTGAGTCTCCAGCTTCAGTCAGCATTCCACATGGGAACACATGCAGGTATGTTCAGAAAAAAACCTGACAGAAATGTCTTTAAAATCCACCCTGTACCTGCCAGTTTCTTGGCAAACACAACTTCCTGAAAATCTGCATAGCACAGCTTCTTCCTGGGAATGAGGTGACCCAGCTGGGAGCTGTGCAGGACTCTTGCCATGTAACACCAGCGGACAGAGAGTAGGGAGGGAAAGTATAACTTTTCCTGTATAAAACCAGTAGAGAGATTTTAAAAAACAGTTCTCTGACAGGAAATACTTTTTCCAAACCTCTCACAGAAGAAATCCTGAGTAAGGCTCTTGCTGCCTTACTGCCTGAATACAGCATCTGAAGCAGAACACATGCTGACATACTACATAGGCTGTGAAATTGTGTAACTTGCCTTACTTTATGTACAAATCGAGGATGCACAAGAGCCATTAAATACATACATTTCACCCCAGCCTTTCCATTCCGTGGCCTTGAATGAATTCTGGGGGAATGCTCTTTTCCCTGGGGCAGGGTTTACTAAGGTGATGTTTGCAGCAGACAGAGGTACCACACCTGAGCTCCAGACCACTACAGACAGCCGGGCAACACAGCTGTGTCAGCTCTGTTTGGCTTCCTGCTCTACTTAGGTTAAACAAGGCCATTTGACGCAGACCTCTGCACCCTGATGCGTTTCAAAGAGATGTGTCCAAATCTTCAGGGGTTTTGCTCTGCTAGTAAGGTAAATTTCTGCCTTTCCAAACACTTCAAGCCACTTAGGAGTTCCACTTCACCCAACTTCATTACCTGGCCATAAGAAGATTGCAGGCTGTCTTCCCACTTGTATTTCTACAGGCAAATACCAGATTGGCTTTAATCAGGCTATAGCTCTTGATTGCTTGGAAAAAATCCCTTGAAGTGAGGGTGAATGAAAAGGAAGGAGGTGCTGTTCAACCCCAAACCAGCAAGGAACAAAACGTAAATAAACAAAAATAAACCGAACAATCAAAAATTCCAAGGAAAAGAAAAAAATTGTTTGAAGCAGTAATGAAATGGAAGCAAAAAGGGGGAATAATGAACAGTTTCTTGAGCACATACTCCTTCCACAGCCTTTCCCCAGGTCCTTGGAACAAGGGGAGTCTCTTAACTTGGGCCTTGAGGTCCTACTCAGGCAATCCTAACACTGTTTTTTACAGGGACAGCACCCTAGTGCATGGTGTATTTTGACTTCTGCCATAATCACTGTGCTCCATCCAACATGATTTGGACAAATCATAGCGTACACTCCTTCTTTACCTTGTCATTAACCTTGTGTGTGACATTACATGTGTGCAAGCTGTGGAAGGGGTAGCGTGCCAGCGGAGGGAGGGAGGGAGGGAAGGAGCAGAGGGCCAGCCTGCAAGCACAGGGCAGAGGCACTAAGGGGTGTGAAGGAAGAGGTGATGAAAGCAGGGTGGGAGAGGATTAGCAGGTTGAGGACTAGCCTTTACAGGAGAACAAGCCACGGGGTAGGGAAGATGTTGACAGCCCGCAAGTATTGCTGCAAATACCTTGCAAGGGGAGGAAAAGACTGCATGGAGTGTTTTGCCACACCAGTTGTTTTGGAACTAACACTGAATGGAAAAGGAGCTCAGCTAATGAAGGCAACAACGTTGATGGCATGGCCAAAGGCTACGAGGCATGCTGCACAGAACATGTGCTTTTCCACAGGCAGCAGAAGGATCACAGATTGGGCACTTGGGATTTGGGGGCTGTCGGCAAAATGTGGGGTCCCACATCTAAATACTCAGTACATGTCTGGTGCAGAAACTGAAAAGTCAGTCAAAAGGCGTAATTTGGCTCTTTTGTTCTTGCAGATAGAAATACAAACTGAAAACCCATCCAAGCCCTTAAGTTACCTGGTGACTCTGATCAGCAGTTGGGATGTCAATGATGTGCTCCACACAAAGGCAACACAAAGGTGAACCCTGCCTAGGAGAACTGAAATGCAAATGTGATGGGCAAGATAAAAAGCTGGTATAATACAGAGAGGAGGAAGACACAAAGTAAGAATAACACAAGTATGACAAGATAATGACAGTAGTTTCAACACACTCAGACTAGCTCTTTTAACAGGCAATCAGTGGCTCAGGTGAACTTTGGGAAGTAGTTCCGAGGACAATGAGGATGCTGAGGGGTGTCCTCTTGCAAAGCTTAGGGATGAATGAGAGCATAAAAGTGTTCTTTTGAAATATTGACAGCAGCACCATCAAAACTACTGCTGCTGAGGTGACGGGCCTCTAGAGGTCATGCTGGGATGGACACTTGGGAAGGGGTTAAAGATTTGCAGGCCAGCGTTAACAGGCTCTGCTCCTGGGTTCAAATGACTCACAGTGATTCTGGATAATTTATTTTATCTCTGATTTCCCCTTTGGTAAAGTTGGTTTCATACAAACTGTCTCCTCTTAAAACTCTTTAGGACGCTGGTATATTTGATATTCCTTGGCACAGTGCCTAGACAGCACTGGATGAAATCCCAAAATAGGGAGTGGAGATATCAGAAAAACATGATTATTAAACAGTGCCCTGGAGAATGAACTGGATGAAATCAGATGGAGAGTGCCACAGGGCTTGAAAGAGGTGAAAACTGAATGGGAAACAGTTAAAGGGACAAAAGTGCCCAGGAACATTGATGTGAGTGAATTCAGGAGGAGACACTGTATCCTGTACACAGCGCAGTGTGGTGCCTGCACCAGCTCTCATACCACTGCCCAGCAGAGTAGCTGCTGCTTCCTCTCTCCTCTCACTCCTTTCTCCTCTTGCCCTTCTTTTCAACAGCACAGTTTTCTTCCTTGTGTCCCTTGCCTTCTCGGTGCATTCCCATGCTTCGCTGCCTTCTCCCCTGCTCCATGGGGCAAGGCGAGGGGGCCACTGGAGCCACCTGCATGGTCCGCACAGCACCAAGGTGGCCAAAAGCTACAGCCACTTCAGGAGCTCAAGCCATGTTTTCAGAACTGAGACTCAGCTTTGCTGTGGGTTTGAGGGTTTCTATGGAAGATAGGGGTGCGATTCCCAAATCTACCTTCTCACAAGCAACTGTCTCCTTGCTGCCACCTCAACACACCCCCCAGGCTGGGCTGTGTTGGGAAGGACCCCTCCGTTTCTGCTCACATCTCGCCTGTTTTTGTTGAACTCTCCCTCAAGCCTCACGGGCAGTTGGTGACCTGGAGCACAGGAGAGACAAAATAGTAATCTGCTGGGTAAAAGCCATAGAAGTTAGGAGTTGCTCCACCATGCTCAGATTTCTGTACACCTCAGATACAAGGTGGTGCAGGATTCAGGCTTGCTCAGCCTGGAGAAGAGATGGCTCATGGAAGACCCTATTAACAGTCTTCCCAGTACGTAAAGGGAGCCTGCAAGAAATCTGGAGAGGCACTTTTTACAAGAGCCTGTAATGACAGGACAAGGGGGAATGACTTTAACCTGGAAGAGGGGAGATTTAGATTAAGCATTAGGAAGAAATTCTTTATGACAAGGGTGGTGAGGCACTGGCACAGGTTGCTCAAAGAAGCTGTGGCTGCACCATCTCTGGAAGTGTTCAAGGCCAAGCTGGACGGGACTTTGAGCAACCTGGTCTAGTGGAAGGTGTCCCTGCTCATGTAAGGGGCTTTGGAGCTAGATGATTTTTAAGGTCTCTTCCAACCCAAATCATTCTGTGATTCTGTGATTACTGTGGATGAAGAAGAAGGGTATGGTCATTTGGTCGCAGCAGGGCTAGTGCTGCTCACTGAGTGGTTTACCTGCAGCAGTGTAACTGCTGGACGAAGCACAGATACAACGACCGTGGGATTAGCAAGGGCAATCTCGCAGTGGCTGGGGGCTGCCCCTGTGTTTCACACGGGGAAGGGAAGGGTGATGTCTTCCGGACCCGAAGGTGCCGAGAAGCTACAGCACCACGCGGGACACGCAGCGGGCTCGTTGAAGCTCCGGGGGATGGTGCTCCCGCACTAGGACAGGGCCGCGGGGGGCGGGCTTCCCGGCCGGGACGCGGCCGCCGCTGCCCGCTGCGGGACCGGCAGCGCGGGATAACGCCTCCTCCGCGACCGCGGAGCCGGACCGCGCCGAGCCGGGGTGTGCCGGGGGCGGAGCGGGCCGCGCCGGGGGCGGAGCGGCGCGGAGCGCGGACAGCCAGCCGCGGGAGGCAGCGCGGCTGCGGGGAGGCATGTCCCTGCCCGTGCTCGTGCCTGTGCCCATGCCCGGCGGCGGGCGGTGAGCGGCCATGCCGCGCCGGGCGGAGCGCTGCCTGCAGATCGCCCCGCACTCCCTGGCCATCGTCCTGGGCGCCGCGGCCGGGGGGCGGCCGGGGGCGGGTGGCGGCGGTGCGGGGCCGGCGGCGGAGCTGGGCCGCCACCGTATCGGCTACGAGATCTTCGCGGACTTCAAGCGGGAGAACATGCAGCACTTCTGGGACCGGCGGGCCACGGCGGCGGTGGCCGAGACCTTCTTCCTGGGCTGGATCGACGAGCAGGTGCTGCTGGTGCAGGGCAAGGAGGAGCACCTGGAGGTGCTGCGGCAGGGCTGGGCGCGCCGCTCCCTCAAGCCCCCCAGCGGCTTCCACATCAAGTGCCTGGGTAGGTGCCGGCGGGGCTCCGGGGGGGGGGTCTCGGCCCCAGGCGGATGGGGGGACGACGGCAGGGTGAGAGCTGCGGCGGCGGCCCCGCGGACGGAAAGGGAGGACCCCTCCCCGGCACGGGATTTGCGACCCCTAAAAGCGGGTGGGAGCGAAAGAGGTGAGCCGGGTCAGGACCGGCGGCGATACAGGGATGCGCTGCAAGTAATGGTTCGGCGGAATAGCTACAGGCGACAGCTGTAAGGTCGGGCTGGAGAGGTGCGTGTCCCCCTTACCTTCAGCTGGGCGAGGTTTAAAGCTTAAAGTGTAACTCTGGGAGGTAACCTTTGCAGGGTGAGGTGTCTGCTGGCCCGCGGGCCAGCTTCTGCCGCTCGCTCCTCAGGAGTGCTTGTCTCCGGCAATTCGCTACCGGGGGATCCAGCACCCTCCTGAACCTCCACACGGTTCAGGGATAACTGCTAGCATTTCCAAAGAGTGCAGGCTTTTAATTGAACTTATATTAGTTCATAAAAAATAATGATTTCTAGCATTAAAAACTTTAAAAGTTCATTTTAGCATTTCTAGGCTTGCTAAACCAACACCTCACTTTATACTTGGGTTGACTGGGTAGCTTATGTCATAGTTTTGCTGTGGAGGTGTTTTCTGTGGCAATAAGTAGCAGTAGGAGATGAGGAATGTGCGGGGGTTTCTTTGTGGTGGGAGGCAGATGGCTTTTGGAGCAGTAAACGGCAAGTCTGTTATGCCGTGGTGGGCTGAAGATTGGAGTTAAGGTGTGATCCCCAGGGGAATCCCACCTGTGGGCAGGGCAGCCTCCGAAGGAGCACATCTCGTCCTGGATCTTCTTCAGGAAAGACGGAAATGCTAGCATGGAGAGGAAAAATGTTTGCAGCGCTTATTTTGATGTGAAAACCCCCACCTCTATGAAATAAGTCTGTGGGTATTTGGTGCGTGTACTGGGGAGCTGTGAAGAACAATAGAGCTGAAGTTTTCCTTAGGATTTAAGGTAACTTTCAGCCTTCACAGCAGCTTCTGTTATGGAGAAAAGACAAACTGAGGGTTTGTTTTGTTGGTGTGAAGGTTTCATGGCTTCCCACAGCCACTGCAGTGCTGATGGGGAGGGAAACTGTCTTCTCCTTATGTACAGCTTCTATCATCTGTGTCTGTGCAGTGGGCACCTGGAACAGGTCGTAGAGGTTGAGATGGGAGTTTCAGATCTGGAACAGTCAACGCAGTGTCTGGTCACTTCTGCTCATAGGCAGTCTTGTGCCTTGAAACTGTGCAAGAGACTTCTCTGTCACTCACTATTTCCCCATCAAACTTATTCAAATATTACCATCTCTTCCATGCCCAGAGGGAGGCTCAGGACAAGCTGTCCTATTTGAAAATGAGCTGATGGACCTTTATTCTTCATTATAGCGAAATTTCCTCTGAACCTCTGATGACAAGAGCATTGAAGAACAGGTGGTTAACACCATTCTGGTGATAGAAAGTTTTCTGTATTCCGCCAGTATTCAGAAGAGGGTAAGAATCTGGGTAGTGGACTTGCGTTGTGGTGGAGGTTTGGATGGAGTTGCTGTTCATGGCCAGCAAACAAAGGGAGAAAACCTGTGTGTGCTGCTTTCCATCCTAGGCTGTTAAATCCTTTCGCCTTTACTATTGCAACAAAGTGTGGGGGTAAACATAGAGATAGTGGCAATGTTTAGTGCTAGCTGCTCAATGTAGCTTATGTGGGCTTTTTTGGCTCCAGTTGTACCAAGGATGAAGAGCTTTTGAATGGGCACTATCAGCTGACAGAGTGTAAAGATCAGTATTTGATTTTTAGGGTGTCCCTGGACCCTACCCATCGGGTGGCATTCCTCAGCCTGCTATGCAGGAGGGCTATGAAAAGGTACGCTCTGACCTTGACGTTCCTAGAGCCAGGCAAGGAATGTAAACAGGTCTTTGTGGCCTGTTTTGAAATGCGAAACACAACTTTTGCTAGAAGTTAACGTTAATAAGTAAGCTCCCTGGTGTGTAAATAACGTTCATTCCTTGGGGGTTATCTTCACTGCAAATTTACAGAAGACTGGAGCCAAAAGTTTTCATTTGACTTTAAAAATAGCAAATGGCTCTCTGTGTGTGATTAAAAGCTATGAAAGAAGAGCAGGGATCTGCTGGAGCCTTGCCTGTTGTGCAGTGTCCTTAGCTGCGATAAATGGGATGGGAGCAACTGATTCTTTTTTTCCTCTTTCTTCACTGGCTTTTTTCCACTACCACACTGATATTCCAGGTCTTGTATCTAAGTAGATTCAACTTGCACTTACTGTAAAAGGATTGTCAGAGTAAGGGACCTGGCCCATGAGCATCCGCTTAAATCTGTGTAATTGTATTTTCAACGTAATTAGGGGCCTAATGTGTAAATGGCTGTGACTTTATATAGGAGTTCTCTCACACTTTGTTCTCCACTTTGTAGCATTAAGGCAGCAAACAGTACACCTACAGACAGAAAGGAAAAGCCTCCATGGTTTTTGCCTTTAAAAAAGAAGTGGTGGGTGTCTTGGGCTGTGAGGAAAACCTGCCTGTTGGGAGATACAGAACAGTAATATTTTACTATCGTTAATAAATAACTGTTGGGGTCAAGGGGAAAAAGTGGTATGGTATTTTTAATGAAGGTGAAACTGCTGTTTGCTGCTGCTCTGGCCTAGCCAGTAACCCCAGTGCTGTTGGGGGAACAGGGAGCTGCCATGGCCGGGTGTAGCAGAGAGGTGCATGGGGCTGACCTGAGGTGTCTTTCTCTGCACCCCAGGGCCACTGGGGTACCCAGGCAATGCTGTGGCTGCCCAGGGGCCAGTTCTTCCCTTTTCTCTTGGCTGGTTGGCTGCTTGCAGAAAGGAGGGGGCGGCTTTCTGCCCCTCCTGCCCCTGGAGCCCAGCTGGGATGGGGTACCTGGAGGATGAGCTGCCTTTCTCAGAGAGGTGTGGGGAGAGCATCCCAACTTCCCACTGCTGCCTGGCAGGGGCAAAGGGACAGAGATGCCTCCTCTTCTCAGCTGTGCTACCTCCAGGTACGGGTGCCAGAGAGCTTTGGACAACTCTTCCTTTCACATGCTTCGTTAAGTGCTAACGTGACCCAGAAATTACGACTGCAGCCTGACTTTCAAACCTTTGCTGGCATTGCTGATGTTTCTTGTTCATTGCGGTCCAGCCTCGGCTGGTCTGACAAGTAATGGGTTGTGATGGCCACAGACAATATTAACTGGAGGAAAAAGTAGCTGTTGAGGAGGAGGGAATGCTAGAGCTCTAATATGCATAGCATGTTTTCTGCTGTTGGGACTTTAAACTAAACCAGGAGGAGACTCATCTCTGACTAGTCTTCCCACATTTAAGTCACCATGGCATGATAATGAAAAGTCCATGAAAGTGTGTAATCTGTAGTTAACGGGGTCTGGACAGTCCTAGTGTACTTGGTGAGGGTGTATCTGAGCCAGAAAGTAAATGGATAGAAATCCTTGTGAGATTCCAGCATCCAGAATTTCAACTCTTGAATTGTAAAATTAGACCATACCACAAAATAAGGCAGGAATATGAAGCAAATCAGTTACTTTAGTGCTGACAGCTTAGAGCTTGAGGACACAGGGGATGAAGTGTTTCATGTGTGACTTTAAAACTTACTTTTCTGTTTCCATAAATTACATGGTTATGCCATAAACCCTTGCTCAGCGTCCATGTTTGCAGTGATCAGAGTTACTTGCATATTAGGAAGTTGGTGGGTGTATCTGGGGTTTTAAGTTGGCCACAGGGCAAGCTTTGGGAACCACAAGCAAATAAACTCCCCAAACCAGCACACAGTAAATATGCTGATTTAGAGGGTCAAGGAAACCCTGTGCAAACCTATAGGTCCCGTGATGAAATTCGTTGTCTTTGGTAAGAGTGATTTGAGGCTTTCTTGTGTTTTTGCAAGGCTTTTGCAACCTAAGTCTTTAATGAGCGTTAGCATTTAATAAGGTTTCTTTCTTTGACACACCTTCCATTTGCACCCACTAACATTTGTCATCCTGGAAGCTGGATTTTTTCCCCCCTCTCTTTCAGTTCTTCTGTGCAAGATGCTGCTGGTATAGCAGGAGGCTCCACCTTGTCTTCATGTCTTCATGCCTTTTGTGTTCCCAGCTGAGACTTCCTTCTGTATCTCTTAATTTCTGTGTCTTGGACAATGAGCATCTTTGAGAGGGGTTTGTGGAAGGGCCATGCCCTTTTGTAGCTACTGCTTGGAAAGAAGTGACCAAACTTCATAATAACCTTTCAGTCATGCCCAGAGCAATTTCTCCAATTAGAAGCTGGTGTTCAAATGGAGTTTTCAAGAATTGTATGTGCAATAATTAAACTAAGTAGCAGGAGTTATAATTCAGCAAAGTTGGCAGGGCCGGACTGTTGTGCTTTGTTCCTGCTCGGCCAGGCGTTGGGGGGGAACTTACTTTGCTGCGCTGGGAGCTGGGACTAAGTGCTCCCTTTCTTTTCTCTCCCTGCCGTGTTCTCTCTTGCCACCAGAAATTAAATGAACACCCCACCAGTTCAGGTTCAGTAGTTTACACAGTGAATTTTCCAGTCATTAGTGGCTGATTTTGGTACAGCGTAGACTGTTGGACATTAAATGTTGTTCATCTATGGCCAGTCATAAAACGTGAATTGTCTTTTTTCCTCCCAATTATCTCCTTTATATAATGAAAATTTCTTTTCAGTGAGGAAGCATTAGGTTTCATAGTAATAAAACCTCCGAGGAGGAGTTTACGGCACACTCATAGACACCTTTTGTATGCCTCATGGTATTACCATGGGAACTACAGGTTTTTTTCTTCCTCTCTCCCACCCCAACTTAGAGCTGGTGAGATCCACTGAGCACTTTTTATATCTGTGAGGTGGTTATTGCAGCCTAAACCCCCCAAAAAATGTAAACTTGAGCTGATAACCTGGCTGAGATGCTTATGAGTATACTCCCAACATTCAGCAAAGAACTTTGCTGCTCAGA